TACAATGAACTATCAATTATGTTACTGAAAGATTAAATTTTATCAATTCAAAGCTCGAAATATATTTATCTATTAGTATAAGTGTTAAAAAGTATAAAATAAAAAATCAAGCCATAATAAAAACCTAAAGCAACACGAAAAATATGAACAAATTTTATATTTCATATCGATTATAAAAATTATAAGACTTGTAAATAAAAACATTTAATCTAAATCAAAAATATAAAATATATTTACCTTTTAGAAGTTTCACCGATAATTTTAAATCATTCAAGTCCTTAATTGAGATTTTATCTTTAAACCTCGAATTAATAATTGACCAATCTTTTGAGTCCCAAACTAATTTACACTAAAGTCTTATATTAATAGTTTTATATTTCTTGTGTCGTTGATAGAATAGCAAGATGGATTAATCTCTATTAATGATTGATAAATAAAATAAATATATTGTAATATTAAATAATATAAAATGTTCATAGTAATATTAAATAATATAAAAGTATAAAAACAAATTGTCAATATTAAAAGACCCATCCGTACTAGTTCATAACATATGAATTAAAAAAAAATATTGTAATAATATAAGAAGTACAAATCGTAAAAGTTAAAATTCTCTTTTTAAATAAAAATAATAATATAATTTTTTTAAAAGTATTTAGAATTTAAAATAAAAATCTCTCTTTTTTTCTTAAGAATTTCAGTAAACAAAATTTACCTAGCACTCGCATAATACACGAGTGTGTATTATTTATTAAGTTAATATACTACCATAGTACTATATGCAAATATTAGAAAAAATAAATCTGAAACAATGAGAAATATGTGTCCTGCCGATGGAATTTTGAATTTTCGCTCTTGGAATCAAACTTATTTCATTTAATTAAAACTTAAAAGCAAGTTAATTGGTCCTTAAACCTTTGATTCCATTTATTGTTAGCCTTTTACATACAGGACAAGTTTTCAACTGAACATCTCTTAATGTTATAATTGAGCAAACATCGTTTAAGACACCAAAAATGGGGACTTTGCAGACAAAACATAAAACGGCGACATTTCCTTGAATGCCAAAGTCTTAGGCTGCAAGTTTTAAAATGCCTAAAATCATCCTCGTAATAAGGATCACCTGCAAATCTGATTGATCTTGACTTTACTCACAATCATGCTGAGTTTTTAATTGTTTAGCCCTTGGCAATGGTGAACTCTTCAACAAAAAAGAAGGAAAACAAAAGAGTTTTTCAATCTAAGAATCTCTTCACATATTGCTCTACTATTCCCAAGATTTGAACTAGTGCGGTTCACTTGGACGAAACTTATATTTCAATAAAATTCATATAACAACTTCATATTAGATGTAAGATTTTAGATTAACATTATTTTAATTCATGTATAATATTATCTATATTTAGATCTTTCACAAACTCGTAATAAATATTGTTTATTTCAAATTTATTAGACCTCTTTAGGCTTGTGATATAATCGAGCTTTTACCGTTGGATTCATGGTTTGCATTCATGAAATCTGAATTTGAATTGAAATAGAATAGTATTGTGTACTTGATATTTACATATCCGATTCAAAATTATCGAAAATCTTATTCTTTAATAACATAAAATTTAATATAAAATATATAGTTTATTTTTGTAATATATGTATATATTCATGTTATATTCACATGTTCATGGTTTGTCCTACTTCCTGACTTGAGGAGTGAAAGACTGGTTCGATGTAATTGACCTAGTTTGACTCTTAAGTTAGTGTGCATCAACTTTACGTTTTTATAAATAATTATTAAAATCAATATCGAATCGATTCAAATATATTTAATTATCTTAAACGAATTAAATACAAATTATAAATTTATTTTAATAATAAATGTATAGATTGAGAATAGCTTCTATGTCAAGAACAGTGTAAGACGAGTATTGAGGCACATTAGTGACAGTCGTTGTAACAGAGGAAGTGGTAGTTGAAGAAGACCCACGAGACCCTCGATATCGGGAAGATGAACCCCCCGAACGTTGTGATTTGGCTGGACAGTTTGGTCAATATGGACCCGAGTATGGCAAATGTCGCACTCAACTTTAGAACAAGTGGCATAAGTGTGCCCAGAGTTCTTGCAAATCCTACATTTTCCAGAGATTTGCGACTGAGACTGATGTGACGGAGTGAAAGTGGAAGTAGGCACAACTAATGCAGACACAAGTTGTGGAGTCTTGTTCAACTGAAGACGAGTCTCCTAAAAAATGATCTCTTGAATAGCAACATCAAGAGTAGGCAAAGGATGACGATATAAGAAAGAAGTGCGAACAACCTCATACTCAAGACGAAGAGCCATCAAAATCTGAATAAGATCATGATGATCCAGACTAATCCAAGCTTGTCGGAGACGATATCAGGTAGCCTGAACTTATGCAAGAAACTCATTGACTGATTGACCCGATTGCTGCTTGGTGGAATGTAGTGTTCTCCAAAGATGATAATAATGAGCCAGGCCTGTCTGAAATAGAGCAGCTAAAATATCTCAAGCCTCCTTTGCACCATCAAATGGAGCAAGTTGTACCTGAACAGCAGGGACTGAAGTGTTACGTAACCAAGTAAGAATTTGACGGTTCTTACTATCCCAATCCTCCAACTTATTGACGTTTGTCGTAAAAGGCTGTGGGGTAGGGTTAGTATCCCCAGTAAGAGACATATGCACATGTGGAAATACACCACCAGTCACAATTCTCCACACTTTTCTACCAACCAAAAAAAATTCATAGACTGTGCCCAAAGACTATAATTATCTCCTGATAAAACAACACTGATAGGAGAATGCACATCCAAACGATCCATATCCAAATCCAGATCAACATAATATTACGAAACAAATGAAATCAAAGTACTAATCGAATCACGAAGCAGTCAAAATATTAGTACACAAAGAAATTAAATAGGCCACGAATATCAAAATCGATCAGACCAGAATGTAGCCAACGATGACAGGAGTTAACAGCTGAAATACGGCGGCGAACGGAGGCAGGAGTGGAGCTCATGCACCGGCTGAAGTTGCGGGCGCTGCGACGGTGAAGAGGCGCGTGTGGGTTCAAATTTTTGGTGAAGGCTCGCCGCGGGACGCCAGAGAGGATGACTGGGGTGAGAGTCGACGGTGGCTAGAGATGAGCGATGAAAAAACCAGTCTATATTGGACTTTAATCCTAGTATGATACCATGTGAGAATGTAGGTAAAAAAATATATCTTTGTATTAACCATGCACAAAGGTATGTACACGCAGGGACGGATTCAGAAATTAAGAGTAGACTGGGCTAGAATTTTAAAATTTATTTTCATAGAAATCACATAATCCTTTTTTTTCAAATATTTACTGAAGTTGTGCTCGACGAGCTTCTACAAACAAACAAAAAAAAAATCATTAAGCTCATTTTGCAATGTATTTGATGTACTTTCACTTATTCGGCGTCGATTTCGTTTTCTAAAGGACGATTATATCAATGGGGTTTTTCTTTTCTTGGCTGAAGGTTGGTGCTCTATGTGAATTTCTAAAAATTCTATAATACAAATAAATAGATTTTTCATATGACATAGTTACTAGTATAAAATGCTTACACATCCTTTATTTATATCTAACTATGATATACAACAACCACATTAGAGGATATGAGATTAAAAAAACACAACACAATTACTAATTCATACACAATAAACAAAACAAGAATTGCAACCAAATGATCCTTGCAATTACTATTAAAATCCTAAATAACTCAACTAAAATGAAATGATATATAAAGACAATAAGACAATTGAAATAAATATATAATAAGGGGGTTTGAAAATATAAGACGAAATTAATTCGTCTTCATGAAAGTAACCTCTTTCTGGTTGAATAGTTTTTTTTCCCTTCTAAATTCATTGTTCCAGTGTTCAGAGGAGGGACATGACCATGGCTAATTTATTTGATTGAAGTTTGGTGTATAGTGGTATTTTGTGGGTTAGTATCTTAGTGGAAATGGTGAATCAACAATATGTAATATTTTATTAGAGTGATGTTAGTAGTCCTTGAACTCGATAGATAAGTGAATTATTTTGGTGGATTAGTAGGTTGGTTTATTGGGGTGGGCTAGAAATACAATAATTATTTTTTTAAAACTAAAAGTCAATAAAAAAAAATCCGTCCACGTGTACACGTACATAATGACGAAAAATGAGTCTCCCTTAAGTTGAGCCTTAACCTAACCCAACAATACACAATACAACTACTATATAACTACTAATAGTATTTATATACTCCCTCACATTTATATGTATATATATATATATATATATATATATAAAGAAGAAGTGATTGTCGTGTTCTTAAAACTTGAGAATGAGTTCACATTACTTCCACAACAATGTTTCTCAAATTTTTAATCCTGAATGTATATTAGAATAATTTATCCTACACCCGTGAGTTGTGTACCTCATAGATGTTTTATCCATTGGATCCACTTACATCCTCATAATTATGTACAGCCGTGTATAATCCGACTATTACCATGTGGGACAGTATTCATATGTAGGGTGGAATTTGCTCCAAATTTAATTAGAGATTTGGAAACACGCCTGTTAAGAGAGAGACTACTCAATATTAATTTCTCCTTAAATAAATAATTATTATTATTATTAACAATTATTATTTTTAATTATAAATTTAACTTTTGTGTGTGTGTGTGTGTGGGATGTGGAAATGGCAGCTGCGGGGGTTGAAGAGCCAAGTAAGCATAGTGAGTGTGACCTGGTGCGCATATTCAATTTAAAACATAACATATTATTAACATTTTTAGTGGCTTCTTGTTTTTTTCTTAGTGGAAATGTGACCAACCACCTTTATTTAATTCATCCAAATTTAAATATTTTAGTATCCTTTGACTATTGCTCAAGATAACGCACAGTAAATACAACATAGTATAATATTCCCTTCCGCACGCATAAATAATGTTAATGTAATGGTACTCGTATGCAATAATTGTCTTCTCATAATAAAACTGTCCTCTAAAAATCTCATCTTTTTTTTTTGTTTTCCGTTAAATAAATTACAATTCACATTTAGAAAGAATATATTTCGGTAAAAAGGGTGTTGGGTTCCGGTTCACAATCTTATTCGATTCGAGCTAACTTTGTAGCTATTTTCCTCTTCTTAATCTTCACTGAGCTCGCATGGTGTATGGATTCTTGAGCTGCGCTTCGTTTTAGTTGAAGTTCATAATCGAAGTGGGCCTTTTCAAATTTCAATTTTTAAGGTTTCTATTTTCATCTGCTTTTTCTTTTTACAGTTTTTGTTATTGTGTATTTGCAGGATATTATTGTTATTAAAACGTTTTTGAAAAGAATATATGAATGAGACTTCTTGTTCAGCGTATGTTGTTATGGCTTGCACATTAGCTAGAGCTCTGTTTAGCAGTTTCTCTTTTTTTTTTCCTTGACGTATCTCTTTCTCCATGCTCCTAATCAGAGTCTTGTTTTCTTGATGTTTAAGAACTATAAGCTATGGACTTGAGCAAGTTCATTGTTTTGGTGCTCGAGTTTGAACAAGTGATCATTGTCATCAGTTCCTTTGGTTTGATATTTACATGTATGATGACT